TGACCCCACCAAAGGTTGACCCCGCCAAAGGTTAACCCCACCAAAGGTTGACCCCACCAACAAAGGTTGACCCCGCCAAAGGCTGACCCCACCAAAGGTTGACCCCGCCAACAAAGCTTGACCTCACCAAAGGTTGACCCCGCCAACAAAGCTTGACCTCACCAAAGGTTGACCCCGCCAACAAAGCTTGACCTCACCAAAGGTTGACCCCGCCAACAAAGATTGACACCAACAAAGGTTGACCCAGCCAAAGATTGACCCCGCTAAAGGTTGACCCCACCAAAGGTTGACCCCACCAAAGATTGACCCCACCAAAGGTTGACCCCACCAAAGGTTGACCCCACCAAAGATTGACCCCACCAAAGATTGACCCCACCAAAGGTTGACCCCACCAAAGATTGACCCCACCAAAGATTGACCCCACCAACAAAGGTTGACCCCACCAAAGATTGACCCCACCAAAGGTTGACCCCGCCAAAGGTTGACCCCACCAAAGATTGACCTCACCGAAAGTTGACCTCACCTTCTCCATACTGCGCGGCACGAGGTCCACGATAAAGTTGAGGAACACGGAAGTGGACACGAAGATGGACACCAGGAACGACAACTTCTCCCCGGACTCCACCGGAACCAGGAACACCGCCAAGGTCATTGTAGAGGTCAAGGCCATGGGCAGCACCAGGTTGACGACGTAGAAGGTACTCCTGCGACGCATGCGCATATCACAGGACACGAAGGTGGTGTCCTCTCGCGGCAGGGTGTTCTGTGTACAGTTGTAGCCCAGGAGAACCCAGTCTGCGCTAGTAGAAAACTCCGCCTTGAGGGTGGTGGCGCTGGTGGTGGTGAGCGGGAGAAGGGTGTTGCGGCTGCTCTCCAGGAACGCCAGCTGGCATTTGTGCTCGTCGAAGGGGAAGAACTCCAGGTCCAGATAACACAGGAACTTCACAAACCCAGGAACCAAGGCCCTCACTCCTCCATCATGGCTCAGGTGCAAGAATTTGGGCACTTGTATTTCCTCTTTCTCGATGGCGTGTGGGATGATGATCCTCGGCGTCCAAATCTTGTCAGACGATATCTCCAGCATGTCCAGTCCCTGGTAGTCCAGAGGATCCCAGGCCAGACTCATGTCCGTCCAGTAGAGGTCAATAAACACCTTCAGGTGGACCGACTGTTCCCCGTCGTTGACCGAAACGACTTGGACAGGCTCGAAATACATCTCAATGCTGGTCCTGAAGGGCGGGATTCTGTATTTGAAGCTGTCTGAGTTGTGAATGATCCCGTGGAGCTGTTTGTAAACTCTCTGTGCTTCGTAGAGAAGATCGTAGTCGGCGTCAGGGACCGTAGAGCTCGGTGTTGTGTCTGTGGGCTCGTCGTAGAGGTCGTGAGAAGTTGTTGAGGTGGGGGGTGTTGTGTTTGTTGATGTATTCTCAATGATGTCGGTGTTTGTCTTTGTTGTATCTGTTGATGTATTCTCAATGATGTCGTCGTTTGTCTTTGTTGTATCTGTTGATGTATTCTCAATGATGTCGTTGTTTGTCTTTGTTGTATCTGTTAATGTATTCTCAATAATGTCGTTGTTTGTCTTTGTTGTATCTGTTGATGTATTCTCAATAATGTCGTTGTTTGTCTTTGTTGTATCTGTTGATATGTCCTCAATAATGTCCTCAATAATGTCGTTATTTGTCTTTGTTGTATCTGTTGATGTATTCTCAATGATGTCGTCGTTTGTCTTTGTTGTATCTATTGATGTATTCTCAATAATCACACTGTCGTTGCTTCCCTTTGTCGTGTCTGAGACGAAGAAGGGGGTGACGACCTCCCCCTCTGTAGTCGAGACGGCCTCCGCAGAGGGTGTGAGATTGTCCAAGACAGTAGAGGGTGGAGTGGACGTTGTGTTGGTGGCTGTGGAGGCGGGGGCAGAGGTCACCACCAGCCACACGGCCAGGAAGGTCGTGAACTCACGGACCACGCCCATACTGCTCATCTAACAGCGTGGGAAGTCGCGCTATTTGGTGCCAATCTGTGATAGAAACAAAAGTCTGTTATTTGCATACAGAGTTTTGTCGATCCTGTTTTCTTTATCACAGACTTAAAAGATCGGGCAACAGCGTTAACACTGGGATATACGCAAGTTCGTGTCTCTGGTGTGTGTGTGTGTGTGTGTGTGTGTGT